GTCTTCTATTTGGTTTTTTGTGCAAAGTTCACATACTTTTTCTTTTACAGATGTTTTTGGTTTGGAATGTCGTCCTTTTTCTATTTTTAAATTGTGGTTGCTTAGTCGAAATTTACATAATGCTTGTCTTAGTTCAACATTTTTCAGTGATATCAAATAGTTTTCTAATTCAAATTTATTTTTAAATTTTCTGTATGTTCTCAATTTATTACCCTCTCGACCATTATTCAATTCTTCTTTCAATATATAAATCATGGTTGCTGGTCCTAAAATTGGTCATATTAATCTTATGTTTGTTCAATACTATTGGACCTATTCGCCAAAACCTCGGTTCACCATGTTATTTTATATTTTATCTATGATTAGTTTAAAATAATGTAAAAAGATCGTTCCCCTAGGTTGTATTACCTGTTGTATTTGTATCTCCACGGGTAAAATACAATGTGCCGCCACAACTGTTTATGTTAGTGCGTTCGGTGATTTTCCGAGGACGATCTTGCTTGTACGGTATAAGTATATTCTCTCCGTCAAAATATTGATAATCTGAACATCAAATACCCAATGTTATTGATAAATACTGATTTATGTTTGCAGGTACATACTCGTAGCATCATATGGTAACCGAAATGTTTCAGTCTGTGCTTATACTCACGACAGCTACAGTATACGTGGTTTTTGGTGAGATTGAATTGCCTTATTCGTAACATTATATCTTAGAACATCCTGGTTTTCCGGCGCCCTCTTATTCATTTAAAAACAAAGCACAAAATACGATAATGGATCTACTCATAATAAAGATATCCAGAATGTATCTATGTTGATTTTGTACTTTCGGTCAGTATAAGGATATTGACTTTATTTTTTTTTACAGAAAAAAAAATACTATTTTACATTTGGGGTGACGCACGTAGCAGAATGTTGAAACATAAATGAAAAACACACAATTTTTAAAAAGCATGTAGATTGTCGATTCAGTTAATATATAGTTTGCTGGGCCATTTTTCTAACCCTTTGGTCACAATCGGATGGGACGACGTCAAGCAACTACTTAACATGAATTTACCAAATTTAAAATTGTGATGTGATTGATAGAATTTGAATTTTATAGTTGGATATCATAATTTTTGGTAATGGAAAAGATGTATTATTCAGTAAGTTATTTGAAAACATATTGCTGGAATTGGTTTTGAAATTGGTGCTCGACACGTTTTGAGTGACGAGGTTGCCAATTGCTTCTCTGTAAATACAACGTATTCAGCTGTTCCATTTGATAACTGATAGTTCAAATCATGGATGTAATGGTATCCTATCACATTATTAGTACTTATGCAATGTATGTAATGCCTGTAACACCGCTTTCAATTGGTCGTAATATGATAAAACACAGTTAAAGTAACTGTAATTAAACACGTGTTATATATTGTTTTATTTCAGCTGATATTACGATAGAGTGTCCACAATGCACCCACATCTCAGCCGACCTCGATGATGATTCGTGGATTCCGTTGGCGGCCATCAATACAATCCGGAATGAAGCTTGTGTTGCATATCCATTCGACCCGACCGCTGACGGTATTAGTTTAGTCCAGTGTACAGCCGCAGTAAATCAAGTAGCAAAGTGCGTATCTTTCGACGGACTTGTTAATACTGACCTCTCGATCCGTAAGTTGCATTAATCATGTGTTGATTGTGTTTATGCTGTCATTTACTTATACGTATCAGGGGGAAAATCTTCTCTCTCTCGGGGTTCTCTACACTTGTCAGGGGGGAAACTCGTCTCGTCTCTCTATCTCTAAACTTTACAGTCAAATAAGACACACACAACGAAATACGTTTCAGCTCTCGTCTTAGTCGGTCAATCGAGCACTCTATAAGACACAGCGCCCTGGGGAAAAAATCCCCAAAACTATCGTAAGGCTGAACCAAGACTCGCCCAAGACTGGACTGCCTCAAGGCTCGCCCCTGGACTGGACTCTCGACTCTCAGACTGCGTCTATCGTGCTCTGCTCCCCAAGACCAACTCAAACTCTCTTTATTCATTTTCAAAACTCTAACCAATTACAAAGCAGAAAAAAGACTCTAGGGCGTAACCTTCAATCATAAAGCCAATCACATTAAGTACTGAATACGTCATATCTTTTGATTAATCGTTCACTACATTAATAACTATGGATACCAACTGTCAGAATCGCGACGGATATCTCGTAATTAGTTCCAAATCACTGAGCCAAGTTCCGTCCAAAACTTCAAATAGGCCTAAACGACGACAGACATAACACAGCAATTCAGCTAATAATCAGCTAATTAAGTCGGTTAACAGATACGCGAAAACAAATTCATGACACAATGTCCCTCCATTCAAGACTGTGATACGAAGGGTGGTTATTTGACCACAATTTGCCGAAACAATAGCGTTGCCTCGCATTTTGTTTAAACAATACCGAGGTTGTTATTTTGGTGAAATTGTATTATGATGACGTAAACTGCAAAAAGTTCAATGTCCAATAGAGTACGAAGTCTGAGCATACTGTAAAACATACTGTAAAACAAGCTAGCATGTTATTTTAGCTAGTTTAGGTAATCCACAGTTTCGCTAAATTTAAATGTCGCTAATTAGAATAGAGTATATTCTCACAGTAAGATTATTGGCACTTTAGCTAAATTAAGATTCAGTTAATTCATGCATTGAGTCAAATTCGCTAAAATGATATGTAGCTATTTTTAAAGTGTTTTACAGTAGTAGGACTTCAAAGACACTGTCAGTATAATTTCAGTCCATTAGCTGAATTTCAGAATGTGGTTAGAATTAGAATTTCGTGACACTGGAATAGACGTACATTATTTACAAGTACCAACTACTACCAAAACACCCAAATACCCTATGTAAAGGTATTGGCCATGGTATATGCACACTGCAGCAAACAATTTATGTCAAAACACTTCAATACCAGGAAATTGTTTTCGGATAAAATATTTTACAAGAACTCAAGAACTGTTTTTTGCCTGGCTATATTTATATGTATGACAGTTTTCAAGCTGTGCTCTTGTATGCAACTTGTAGAATCAGTATGTAACCAGAACGAAGCTAAGGTCCAGATGCAAAGTCTTAATACATGCATGAATACAGCTAACTCGCCTCTCTTCGACTTTAATTCACCCCTAGTTGGCATCGTTGCTATGAACACACATATTAAGTACTGTGCTGTGGTGGACATTGACCCGGGTAATGTGTGTGAACATACTGAAGGAGACGAGAACAGTGGTACAGATCTATCACAACAAATTACCCAGGCTATGTCAATCCTCAACTTCCTTGGAGATGATTCATTTTCTGGTCGCCTGTGTTATTCAGATGGATTCCGTCAGCCAGGTCAGTCACACGTTTCAAGTATACGTCAACGTAACACGATTATTCAAATAACTCTGACTCGATATATATTCAATAATAAGCTTTTATAATAATAATCTTTAGCGGAATTTCACTGAAATGCAATACAGATGTGAAGAAAAACAAAAGAGCTGACAAACTACATTCAAATATAACAATAAAAGAAAGTTAGCAAAGGTTTATAATATCTGTGTTAATGTGTATTCCAATTTATATTTGTAATGTGTGGACACTTATTCGTATGTATGCATACGATATCTCAGTTTCCCAATGGCAACACAAGGTTGATGGTTATCGATGTACAAGTAACGTATACTTTGTGTTGAATTATCTCTGTCGTTTTTCAGATTACAAAACTATTACTTGTCCTCAGTGTGGCCACATAACCACAGATGCCACCTCTATTCCATCCGCGCTACTTGCCCTTTTTCAGAACGAAGCGTGCGTTGCCGTGCCTTTCGACGCCAGCGCTGAGGGCATCGACGAAGTGCAGTGCACACCGATGGGAAACCAAGTGGCAAAATGTGTATCATTTGATGGAGAAGTTGACGCAAGCTTAATTGGTATGTGTGTGTGTGTCAAATATACTTTTTAGATAATTGTAATATATATATATATATATGCATGATGATTGATATAATAAATGTACTGCATTCTTCCGTCATAATTTTTTATAACATAATTATATACATCATCTGATACATATACCTCGAGAAATCGTTGCACTATAACATCGCATTATGTGAAAGATCCTAATTAGTCGCATGAAATGCGGAACAATCTCCGCTTCCAGAGTCGCATAATTTTGTGCTGAGTTTTCATTTGTTCGCGTGTTTGCAATGGGTCTATGAACATTTCCGTTTACTGTAATATCGACACACATTAACTCATGCGACCTATGAAATTGTACAAAGTAGCTCGCGCAAAATACTAGTAGTTTACCCGCAGTAATTTAAAAAAAATGAACATTAGACGTTCATGTATACCCCAGAGCAGGGCCCATGGTTGAACTCAATAACAATTTGAATGTATTAAGGCGTTGGTGCACATAGGCACACAAGTATATAATCTTCTATTTGGGGGTAAAATGAATATACTTTAGCTGTTTAGTTAGTGAGTGAAACTTTTCCTATATTTCTAAGAGAAGAGAGTGGTTGAAATCGGCTTCATTTGGGGGTCTGATGTTAACATATCTAGGGAAAATACATTTTTGTTATTTTTTTTTAATTAATTTCCGGTATTTTTCATGCTTAGAGTCAAGGTGTGTAAAATTACCCCGCTTTCAAACGTATATGGAGAGTTGAAGTGGAGCGAGTTATTTATGTTAACCTCAGACAGTGGTCGCGTTTACGCAAAAACATGCGTATATTACGCATCAATATCACATTGTACGCAACAAAATAAACACAGTGCGTACTATGTACGCAAAAATACGACAATTTAATTTACTTTCACTAACCCCCTGATAGCGATCATTCGCTGATGCCGAACTAAACGGGTCATTCCAACACCGATTAACAAACACGCCGAATGTACAAATTCAGTAACACGTGTACGTGGCTAACACGCATTCCACTCTCACAAGGCCACTAAGAAATTGACAACTTTTTTTTTCTCTGCGTCTCTGAACAATAAATTTAAGCCAATTGGAAACACGATGTCACGGATATTACAGAAAAAGGTGTTCTTTGCAGCAAGAAAGCCAAGTTTGTTCGTCAGAAAACGTATCAGTTAGCCTGGGAAGCAGAGTATAAATGGCTACGTCCGGAAAAACGGGAATGCGAAGATAAAA